GAAGTATTCAGTTGATCAGGGATATCAGCTTAACCAGGGAACTCCTTTGGGTAACTAAGCTTTCAAAAACTAATAATCAACACAGAATATTACATTTCTTTACAGATACCTCCATTTTCTGAAGACTTTTGGTTGTGTGCCCACTGCTATCTGCTCTACTTTGTTCTTCACTTTCCTCCTATTGATGCTCTTAATACCACCCAACAGACTTTTAGGCTGCCGCTGTTCTTTTAATCCAAACTCCAGCTACAAGCAGCTGTTCTGTAGGCAGACTTTTTTTTATTAACTTTGTTAGGAACTATGCCCTATCGTGTTACTGTCTTCTGTTCCTGGCCTGCACAGCTGTAGTCATTGCTTTCCACAGAAATCTTTACAGAAAGCTGTAACTTCTTTCTTTTCTCAGTACATTTCATATGTGTGTGTGTGTGTGTGTGTGTGTGTGTGTCCTTTCCTGCCCTTAGGTTATCTTTGTATTGAGAATAAGACTTTTTCTACCCAGTATTTCTGTTGGTTCTCACTAATTCCACTGGCCCAGTTCAACTTGATCTGAGTCTTTTCACAGTCCTGCTGCCTTTTCTACCAGGAATTTATTTTCATTTAGGTTCTCAAATAAAAACTTAATCTCAGAGCCATCCACCAGCTTTGGAAAGGCTGATTAGCATTGCAGCCAGATGAGTGTGGGGAACTGGGGCCAAGATCTGTGAAAGTAACTTCTATTTAGGTGCTTAGCTTCCTGTCAACTTCAGTGGGAGTTAAGGCACATAAATAGGTTTTAGGAGCTTAAAATCCCATATGCATCTGGCTTTGGGCATTTTTTGTTGGAGTTTGGCCATCATGTGAACAATGGTGGATGAACCTGAAAATACCTCATTCCTCCTCCAGTCCAGAAACTGAATTCACCCACATTTCATGGCCAGCTTCTCTGCCAGCTCCCTGGCTGGCTTTCAGAAGCTGAATTAAAAGCTATTAAATGGAAAATGATAGAATACATTGCAACAAAAATTTCAAACTTTGAAAAACTCCCTACTCCCAGAGCTAGCTGAATTATAGCAAATGCAGTATAATTCAGTAGGAAAAGACTGTCAGATATGTGATGATGAGATTTTAAGGGGTCCTATCCATTATTCTTGGGCAATTTAAATACAGCATTGGTAGTAGTATGCCAGCTAGCTAATCAGAGCACAGTCCTAGGCAATTAGTGTTCTACAGCACCATGAACACAGCCTTTTTCATGCTTTTTCTTTAAATGCACCTTTCTAGAAACCAGGAATAACAATCTAGTCCCTGTTAGGCACATATCAAAGGAGAAGTGTCTAAAAGCAGATAACATAAATCTTTGTTACAGTTTCAATTTAATCTGAAAGAATAATTGACAAAGATGCAATTTTTTGCTTTAATTGTTTTTAGTGTGAACAGTGATCACTTCATCATAGTTGAGTCATGTTTAGAAAATTTAAACAAGCTGCATGATGACTCTAGGAAGCATGGAATGGTTTGTTCAAATCAGTACCATCTGTGGACAGAAAAAGTTGGGGGAATTTTAGTCATTCTTGAGGAATGGAAATCTGATTCTCCATGCTAGAGTAACTGTAATCCTCTTTGTATCTGTAACCCAATAGTGTAGCTGTCTTGAAATTGTCTCATTGAACACAGTCATCAAGTGCAGGAGACACTGCGCCGCTGGGTGTCACTGCTCCTCACTGTGGCCCTCTGATCTCCAGACTCAGATCACATCTTTTCATATGATCTAATAAGAGATTACATTTTTATTTGGTTTGTCTATGGAAGCAATGGGATAACATGGACTAGATTTTAAACTGACTAACATTTAGGGCTCTGATTCCATTTTAAAGGTCTATCTAGGCACTCTCGGAAAATTTTCCTGTGTCTTATGCTGACTGACCCTTTCTTTCATTGGTTAGAAATATTTTTTTTAATATGGGTCATAGTAAACTGAAAAAAATGGTGACATAAAGTAGCAATAAAAGCTCTTCCATGAAAGAAGTACTTGTCTAATTTGTCTGAAATCATGATACCTGCAAGTTGATCTTTCACAATGGTGAGTTTCATGTAGTGTTACAAGCATATTCACACATGCTATCTTCAGCCTTGTTGAGGGTAATGTATATGGGCTCCCTCTCCAACCAGTGGCAAAAAGGATGGAAAGGGAAAAATAATTTTTCTGCCTTCTATTCTTTCCCCTGCTCTCTAGGAGTTTGTCTTCCCACCAAATACATGGAGGCTGGCTTTATTAGGCTTTTGTTGGTCTGTGTGAGAGCCCACAAATCAGCGCCACTGTTACTTTTCCTCATACAATTTCTAGCTCTGTGAAACTGCCAAGCATCTTTTCCATCTTTATTTCAACATTACTAGCTCCCAGTTCTTTTTAATGGCATCATCCATACTGAAACTGAGCAAAAAGTGTATTCTCCTTGAGAAGGAAAGCCCACCATACTACCTAGAAATGGGCATTGCTCTTTCTGCCTGTGACTAGCCTCTTTAACCTGCCTTAAGTGCAGAGACTGCAGTTGTGCCAGCCATGGCTCTGCCAGTTGCACATTTGAGCAAGTGAAGGTATATATTTCCACCATCCTCTTGGCACCCATCAAGCAACCAGTTCCTGTCCACTTTATTCCAAGCCCCTGTTTCAGTATTTGATGCAGTCTTTCATGTAAGGTGGAGTATAGTCCAATAATCAGTTTTCAGCAGATGGAAGTTAGCAATGGTAGACTAAGAGGCATTAGAGCCAGTTGTTTCTATCTCCATGTTGCATACTTTCACACTTTTATTCCAAACCTGCCAGGGCTGGCTGTTCCTATTGCAGCAAGAGTTCTTGGAGTTGAGTGCCTGGGAGGGTGAGATCATATTCCTTATCAAAAAGAAAAGTAATTCCCTCTGAGTAAGAAGGAGAAGAATTTAATTTTCTTAAATTCTTTTAATTTTAATCTGTTCTGATGTCTTTGGAGTTGCTGACACTTAATTTTTTAATTCTTGTAATATATAGTATTGCGTCTTAAAAATACTTTATTTCAAGTTCAGAGTGAGACTGGGTGGTTACTTTGATTTCATTCTAATAGTTTTATCCATTCTATCCAACATTTTGTCATTATCCTAATTGAGTGTGTAAGATTCATGTTCTTTGCAGTATCTTGACAGATATTAATAGCTTATATTACAATAGATGATTTATTTAAGGAAAAATGCAGATTGTTTTTATAGTAACCATGGAATGTTTCTCTGCCTTTATTTTCCAGTCATTAATGGTGTAAGTAAGCCCTTTCTTGTAATTTACACAAGTAGTAAAACAAGTTTATAAAACTATTATGAAAATATTACAGTGTGGGGTTTTTTTGAAGGGGACAAACAGTATTACATCTCCAAAACTAAAGTAAGACTGTTACTGCCTGTTTTGTTTTTATTTACTACTTCCTGTACTTCTCTTCATGCTAATAACAATAGAGCAAAACAGCTTTAATTTTGATAGCAAGGTGTATGATGATGATGAAAGTTATTTTCTAGCAAAGATTTTTTTTCTTAGGCAGCTCGCTCTTGTTCTGTGTCTGGTTAGCATGTAGCAGGGTGGGAGCATATGAGGCTATTGCATGCTGCAATGTTGTGTACATGTGCGTAAGAACTGGGTGGAAGGACAAGGGAAGTGCCCATGGTCCCTGAGCCTGGCACCTCTCCTACAGGCTCCACCTGCTTTGGGCTCATTTGAAGAGATTTGTATTTCTCAATATTTCCATTGTCCCAGCTTGCTTTAACTTAGAGTTTACATTTCTTGTTAAATATTTGTATTTAGTGGAAAAGCTTCAGCTTGTTATATTATGGTGATTTTCATAAATAAATTGTTGCAGATGAAAGCAGAGATCAGATATTCCCACAAGGATGAGAAAAAAAAAAAAGGAGGGCTTTCTCTTTCTTCCCCAGTAACATTGGTCTGGGATCCTTTTATTCTTCTGTAAGCCTTGGGGCTTCTTTAGTTTCAGTTTGAGCATGTATCATTTGTTTTTCTTTTACCAGTGATACTTCTTCCCCCAAAGACTCTAAAGCGCTCTTTAAAGCTAAGTGCACAAAATGATTTCTGAGCTGATTTCTCTGCACAATTTTTGCCACAGACAGTATTAGTATTATCTTACAGAGTCTTAGAGATAATATTAGCTTACTGTATGACTATGTGCTATAGCACAAAACCATATGTTGCATCCAGTCTGTGAGAGCTGGGAGTACACTGTTGGCTTAATATAGATGTGGACAAATGGGTGTGCGTGTGTGTGTGTATGTATGTGCATACCTGCACTACTTCTGTTTCCAGGCGCATGAATATAACCTGTTTATTCCCACATATACATATGTATATAAATACATGGAAGCAAAGTTTATGGTAAGTTTCTCTTTTTGCTTTGTGTTGACATATCATTTAGTTCTTCCTGTTGGTGTCTTAAGTTGCTGTTTGCTGAACAGCATGTAAAGCACTTAATATAAAAATAGACAAACATATTGCATGTATTGATACTTTCCATTCAGAAGGTGAAACAGGACACTTACAAAACCTTGAGGTGTTGCTTGTGGATTTCACATGTTACCAGGAAAGAGGGACACAAATGAGTATTTCTAAGTGAGAGGTGAGGAATCCCAGTTAGCAACAGCAGTAAAAGATGCTATGAGTAGGCCAAAAATAACTTTGCTTGATATGCCCTCCCTCAGTTGGGACATAGCTCCAAATGTAGCATCAGAAATATCACACCTCTCAAAGCTGCCTCTGCATGCCACACCTAAAAGTATTTTTCTTTATTTCAAAATCTGTAGTAAACATACACTACCTATATGTGTGCAGTGTGACTTACACCAATGGAATTACTCCTTATTAAGCATATGAAATTGAATCTTCCTCTTTAGACATACTTATTAGAATATTTTTTCAACACTGGATAAAAGGGTTGTAGTTGCAATTACTTTTCATTCCAATGAAGATATCTTACAAATGTTTTAATTTCTAGTTCCTAGTGCTCCCAGGGATATTGTTTTTTCCAATGTGCAGTCAACAAGTGTGACCTTGAATTGGAGATCACCAAAATCTATCCTTGGATACTTTCAAAACTACAAGATTACCGCACAGCTACAGTCCATCCACTGCAGTGACTGGGAAGCTAAGGAATGTATTGAATATGAAATGCATCAATATTTATATGAAAATGTGGTGGATGACCAGATAGAAGAGACAGTGTATGGGCTGAAGAAATACAGATGGTACAGATTTGCAGTTTCTGCCAGTACAAATGTTGGTTATGGCAGTTCCTCACCTTGGATTTCTACGCAAACACTTCCTGGCTGTAAGTAAGGATGTCTGCCGTGTGTAATAATTCTGTAACAATGTGATGTCAGCCAAACGAGAGCAGTTGGTAGAAGTTATTTCTTCATAGACCTACAACACTGGTGAAGTTATTAAGGATTTATTGCAACTTATCATGTATGAAATACCATGCTATAAATCATGTGGCGGGTCAGGATCATGGGCACTGCTTCAGATTTTAATGCCTTTTGAATGGTCTACTATATTTATTGCTTACTCCTCAACAATTTTGTTCCTCGGCCGTACTCCATGTCTAGAATTGGTAAGTGTGAATTTTGGGTTGATATGCCGTTTTCAGTACATCTTCATATGTGGGGTGTGTCAATGAAAGTAGTCATTTTTCTAATTCCATGACTAAAAATCTGTTCACTAACGTTGTAATGCTTTCCTGAAATTCTGTTGTATGCTTCTGGCAATAGAATATAAACAATAGTTTCAGAAGAATTAAGATTTCTTTCCAATACCGTATCCACCTAAAGAGATTACAAGTCCAAGTAGACTGCCATGATACATATTAGAATGGTCATGCTTCAGCTAAGGATTTTGGTTTCCAAGAGAAAGAGTTAGTTTCACAGATAAGTCATCATTAGATATTTGAGAGAAGGGAATATAAAACATAAGTTATTTAGGCAGTTGTCGTGGGAACATATGACCTTCCCTCCTAGTCTGCAGCCAGCCTAGATCAGAGCACATCTGAGCTCTGGCCCTTGTAGAACAACTGAGAACCAACATGAGTGGCCTGACTAAATCCCAGCTCCTTCACTCCTTTCCCCTTCCAGATGACAATAAAGATACCAAGGACTAAATAGCTGTATGCCAAAGACTGCTCAGCAGCCCACATACTTATTTTGTTCCAGTCATGTTTTTACAATCACGTAATATGAATTCAGGAGTCTTTTATATAATGCTCATCATAGTATCTGTGCTCTCTCTGTACAGCAATACACCCATCTATTCTTAAATACCTCACCATTTTACTACTAGATAAGGAAATATTGTTGTCTTAATTTGCAGATGAGAAATTGCAACATAGAAATTCTAAGCCCCAAAGGGCAAATAGATTTGGACACACACTGAGAGTGGACATTGCAACAGCCCATTTTTCATGTAAAGCACAGAAGCAGTCCTTTGGATTGAAAAGTTCTGGAACCAGCTGCAGAGCCATTCTCATGTGCACTTAATTTCTTTGTCCAGTGGTTCTTATGGGAATACTATGCCTGTAAATGAATGCAGTATTTTAAGTGAAAGTGGAAAAAAAGTATCAAAAAACCATATAACCCCAGATGGAGCAGAAAACAGCTAGCAGAAGTTGTGCACCTCTTGAGCCAGCAGCTCTGGGGAGAATTCTCAGTATTTGATGGCTAAATCTCAGCTGCTGATAGATGCAAATACTTCTCTTCAAAAAATTGCCGAGTTTAGGAAATTTAGGGATTTAAATTGGACAGAGAGGCAGATAATGAAAATACATATAAGCACATAAAGTTAGGATCCTTTTTATGATTTCCTCTCTGGACAGTAATAATTTGCTTTACGAGTGAAATAGTTTCCTATCGGTCCTACTGAGGCAGTTAAAAGTATACAAATCTCATTACGCTGCACAAGCCCTTTCCATGCCAGTACAGTGTCGTTCGCAGCAGTAGGGCCTCTGTG